AGAATCAGGCCTCTTAAAAGCACCGCCAGCAGTATACTGCCACCCTGGAAGCACTGGGGGGCAGATTTTCGAAAGGCTTGGCCAATGTTGGACAGTCTCTATGCAAAAGAATAAATGGACATAAATCTGACATCAAGAATTGTAACATTCAAAAACCAGTAGGAGAGCACTTCAATCTCCCTGGACATTCAATAACAGACTTAAAAGTCACCATTCTTCACCAAAAAACTTCAAAAACAGACTTCAACAAGAAACTGCAGAGCTGGAATTAATTTGCAAACTTGACACTATCAAATTAGGCCTGAATAAAGACTGGGAGTGGCTGGGTCACTACAAAAAATAATTTTCCCTCTGTTGATATTCACCCCTTCTTGTCAACTGTTGTGAATGGGCCACATCCACCCTAATTGAATTGGCCTCGTTAGCACTGACCCCCCCACTTGGTAAGGCAACTCCCATCTTTTCATGTGCTGTATATTTATACTGCTTACTGCATTGTCCACTCCATGCATCTGATGAAGTGGGTTATATCCCACGAAAGCTTATGCCCAAATAAATTTGTTCGTCTCTAAGATGCCACAAGGAAACCTTGTTGTTTTAACCTGCTTTTGGCACTTTTGAAAACTCCACTAGGCCGCTGCATCTTTAGGCACCTAAATACCTTTGAAAATCTGGCTCTGAATTCCTACTGACTCAAAGGGAAGAGAGCCACCTATTGCATAAACACACCTTACACTACCCTCGGTTTTCCTTCAAGGTCTCCTACCAGGTCAGACTCTTCTTGCTCATGAGGTCTAACAAGAACCCAGTACAAGGGATAAAACAGCTTATTAACCACATATTTGCACAGAAACTAAAGCTCGTCTAAATACTTAGCTCAAAATGGGCTTTTTCAACCAAAATAAGGCATTTCTATCAACATGGGATTTTCCGTAGGAGAGGCCCATTTTTAACAAGATTTTTTGAAAACCAAAAAAACTTGGAAGAAAATTGATTTATTTTTTTTAGTTTTTCAACAAACCCCTCCAAACGTTTCAGAGAAATTTCAGTGTTAATATCAACATTTTTTGGTGGGAAAATAAACATTTCCTGGCCAGCTCTAACAGTGATTTGTATTTCACATTTAAAGCCAACATTTTAAGAATGAATCTGTTTAAAATGTTGAAAGTGACATGTAAAAATCAACATCGAACAGCTGTAAGTGGAGCACAATCCTCACCAAGAGCTTTCTAAGGATAACTCAGTAATAAAGAGGTGATTGTTGACAGGGAAGGAAGAACAATAGGGGGCAGATCCTTTTCAGTTCCAGGGAAAATTTGTCACCGATATTTAAAGCAAGCTGAATGGTGAGAGGGATCATTATTAGCTCTGTTGCAGGTTGGAAGAGAATCCAAAATATAGTGAGATCAGATGAGAAAGGACAACTTGGACATATGTGAACGTTATTTGTTTATACAAAACAAGATTTCTGTTGGAAAAGATCAAAAAGCTTTAGCACTTCCCCCCAAAAATGCTAAAGCACAAGACAGATGAACGCTGTTTGTGATGACTGATTTGAAAAAGAAATGCATTCCTTATACTGACCTTCACCTCCCCGCACTCCACTCTACCTGCAGCCCTTCATGTCAGCCCATCAGCTGAACCAGACAAGCCAGTTGCTATTAGTCTGCTTGGGAAACCAACCTGAGACACTCTTGAATAAGAAAGTAGTATCCTGTTAATATTCTGAGCAATCCACGTAGGCTTAATGAAATCAGCAAGACCTGAATCAGAATTTCAAGCAGCTGGCTGAGTTAGCATGCAGAGCAGATTCAAAGGGGGGAGTGGAGGGGGGAAATCTCACCAAGGAATCACTGTTGAATATTTCACAGAGTCAAGAAGGCAACAGATCAAAGCTACCATATATTGAATCTATAGTTATGTTTACCACCTTCAGAGGGTTTAATAAGTGTCTGTAGCTGAGTCTCTGGAGAGTGTCTCCTTTCACACTGTAAGCTTGTAGTCGACTATAATACTCTAGCACCCCCTTGCGGACAGGATGGACATTGCTTCTGTCTTGGAGTCCAGGGCACAGCCCTCCAGCTGTGCTGCTCAAGGTCTCTGACCCCTTGCGTGGGACAGTTAAAGTAATACAAACAAAAAGACAGTTACTCCTACAGCCCACCAAAAAGCAGAGTCCTAGGTCATCAGGAAGCCAAAGCAAACAAAATAAAAGAGAAAAAGTACCAGCCCTTTTCATTGGTGAGTGGTCCTATGCAGCCACGCTCTCTAGCCGTTTCTCCAGTGAGGGGCCAGTGAGCTCTGAGCTGCAGTCCTGCTCTTCGGAGTGCCACCCTGCACTAAGCAGGGATCCTCCCTTTTGAGGGCCCACTCTTTAACTCCTTCCTCACTGGCGTGGGGCTATGCATCACAAAGCTCTTCGGGACAGGGTTTTATCTTACGTAAGTTTGCGCATCTATTTTTCTTAGGCTTTTCTAGAACATCCATCATCACCAGATTATCCAAGCACCAGAAGTGAATGTAAATGGGAATTTCCATCCCGAGGACAGGTGACAATGAGGGCTGTTGGAGACAGTTATAGCACTGTGGACAGAGCGAGAAGGCCAGATTGTACAGATCTGTTTGGGAGGAAGAAGCGACAAGACAGGGACACGGAATGGAAATAGCTCTGCATCTCAGTGCGATGCTCAACACACAGTTTCATGCACAGGTTGCTGTTGGAGCAGGGTGTCTCAAGCTTTCTCACAGCACGGACCATGGCTTGTTACTGAGATTTGTCTTGTGGGCACCTCCCATTCATAAAGGCCTCCAGCACCTACCCCTCCACTGGCAACTGTGCAAGATCCAAATGGTGATTATTACAAACCTGTGCACATGACAGTTAAACGGACATGAAAGTGTCCCTTTAACTGTCTTCAATTCAGTAAAAAGTCTTGACTGAAGAAGGTTTTACTTTGCTCATTTCCTCTCCCTCTACCAACTATTCTCCTTCCTGCACGGGTTTGCTGACACGTGGTCTGCTGTCACCCTATGCACGTGCTTCTCATACTCTTCCCCCAAATGGTTTCCCAGCTGCCACACATCTTTCTGTCTAAATAGCAGCACAGAGTGGCTCTGTTCCCACTCCTTCTAGCCCCTAATGGATACAGCTTGGTTAGCTCCTCCTTGTTCACAGCTCGAATATCTGTAGAAAGAGCTGAAAAGAGCCACCACCACATCACCAGACAGTAACCAGAGAATCACACCCCCCCCCCCCCGAGCCCTGTTGAGCACAGTTTGGGAACTAGTATCAGAGGGGTAGCTGTGTTAGTCTGAATCTGTAAAAAGCAACAGAGGGTCCCTGTGGCACCTTTGAGACTAACAGAAGTATTGGAAGCATAAGCTTTCGTGGGTAAGAACCTCACTTCTTGCATCTGAAGAAATGAGGTTCTTACCCACGAAAGCTTATGCTCCCAATACTTCTGTTAGTCTCAAAGGTGCCACAGGACCCTCTGTTGCGTTTGGGAACTAGTGGCTTATTACAGAATTGGCTAATGCTGGAGAATTCTTTTTTTTTTTAATTTTGAATTCAACCTCAACTCTTATTTTCTAGGCTCTTTGTTCATAGTGTTCTTGCAATTCACGCTCCGAGCTCATTTTACACCGTTCCATTTGTAAAATGCTTCAGTCCCACAATAGATCCCACGTTTCCGAGACGACCTGCTTTTCTGTTTTGGCTGGTGGTGAGTGATGCACATGGGGAACACACATGGGGTGTGTTTATTTATCCGTATGCCAGAAGAGAAAGAATGCTGCTACTTCCAGTGCTGCAACATTTTGCTTCAGAAGAGTAGTTTATCCCTGACCAGTGGGACATGCTCTCTCTGGAGCTACTTTTTAAACTCTTCTGCTGTCTCACTCTTGGGCCTTCTCACATAAGCGAGGAAGGAAAATCATGGCCAAAGAAACCACGTGTGTGAAGGGATCGTACTTTACCCTACTGTTCACTGTATGCACAGATGTCACCTTGCACTCTGCTTTCACTAGTGCCTCTACTTTACAACACATGGCTATGATGGGTTTGTGATCTACCCTCCACAATCATACTTCGCCCACATGGATATTTAACTCAGTCTCTTCTTTCTCCCTAGTAACACGATCCTTACATTGCAGTAAACATATCAGCAGGCACATACTTTCACATGCTGTACACGCAACTCCCATACTTGAATTTTAGTTCACATATTCAACCTGACTTTGACACTGAGTTGCTGCCTCATGGGGCTTTTCTTAAAAAGCTCTCCACAAATCAACAGCACCCTCCAAGCCCTCTCTGTCCTTTACTGGACAGAAATCTATTTCTGTTTAAAATGGGCTGTCTTCGAGTGGGGAGCTTTTCCGTTGACAGTGGTTTTCGCTAGGAGAAGAAAGATTGGCTTTTCCTGATAAACTACTTACATAGTGGGTGAAAAGATAAGGTCTCCGGCTGCCTCAACTGGAGAAGAGGGATGAAACCGAATTTCAGACTGGATAGTGATAGGAAATGAAATCCATGCCTCCTACTCCACCCACAGCTACACACCAAACAAAATCTCCCCTTGCTACTGGATGGACTAGATGCTTCAATAGGTCTTTTCCATCTCTAGTTCCTAGGATTCAGAACTCAAAGTCTAAAGCTTCATTTCAAGCCTGATATTACACCAATCAATAATGACCAAGTGGTACAGTACAGCTCTTGTACGAGTGCTAAGGGAGGTACAATGGTCAAATGAGCTAGTGTCCTGGCCTCCTATCTAAGTCATTATAGCCCAAAAGTTCTTCGTCCAAGGATCTGGGAATCACCATACTCCATTCTCACTATCTGCTTCCGTAGCTATTCCTCCTCCTTAACCGTGGAGTCACCGCAGATTCCAAGAATCATCTCTTACTCTAGGAAAGTGAATGCTGACAACACCAAGGCTCAGCGACCCTGAGTTAAAAGAGCAAGAGCTTTGACAGGAAGAGCTAAGCACGTCCCCTACCTGATTGTGTTCGTGAGACGGTAAGCCCTTCCCTCTCGATGAGGAACAGCTGTCATCCAGCTGCTCACTACAATCCGCTGTCCACTGCAAAAAGGATAGAAAGGCATTGTGTAAAATAATAACTACGTTGGGAAAACTGTCGAATCAAACCCCTGCGTCTAGCAAAACACCATCAGACTGTTCTTGGAAGCCAAGGAAACTCTACAGTACTGACGTGTTCATGTTTTGCAAGAGGGACTGTTCACGAAAGGCACTGCTGATCAGAAAATGCACCTCTTTCATGAAAAATATTTTGCCAAAAATGGGGGTGGAGAGGAGAAGAGGACATTTTCCACAAAAAAGTTGGTTTTTCAGCAAAAAATAAAAACCCAGAATATTTCAGCTGAAATTTGAAATATTTTGATCCAAAAATGCTGCCGCCGTGCCTCGTGCTCCCATTCTTCTCTATAGGCCAAGCTACTGGGTTGGACTACATCTCCCATGATGAATATTGGGGGGAGGGGGGGAATGATAGCTCAATGGTTTGAGCATTGGCCTGCTAAACCCAGGGTTGTGAGTTCAATCCTTGAGGGGGCCACTTGGGGACCTAGGGCAAAATCAGTACTTTGTCCTGCTAGTGAAGGCAGGGGGCTGGACTCAATGACCTTTCAAGGTCCCTTCCAGTTCTAGGAGATGGGATATCTCCATTAATTATTATTATTATAACAGTGGTCTCCCCTCATGGTGAAAGATGATTGGCCCCAGGGAGTTTCTTGCAGTAGTGCATCATAAGAGATCTAGTCCACGCAGGGAGACCAACCCATAGGGGATAACGTGAACATGAGGAAACTGAACTATGATTTCCCATGAGGCACCACAGCACGATATCGAAACCAAAGTACTTCAGTTTTGGAGCATTTGGTTTTTCAAAGAAAACCTGGCGTTTTCTGCTGAAAGCAGACACGTTTTATGAAAAACCCAATTCTCCATAAAAAAAAACAGTCGGGATGGAAAATGTTCACCCTGCCCTATTACAGAGCTCTCTCTGCTGCTCCAGCTTGAGGTAAATGCTATTCTAAAGCTATTTACTCTGCTGATGACATCACAGAGGCTGACGCACAAAGCAAATAGTAAGTGAATTCCACACAAGCAGAAACAGGAATTAATCTGACCACTTAAGGACCGATGAGGACGAGGCCACAAAACATGAAGAAGGGCCAATATTAGAAACCGGCGCTTCAAAAGTGACCTGTATATAAGATCTCACCCTCCTGGCAATGGCAACATTAGGTCAACATTTTAGGTGGGTTATTATAATTAACCTTAACTGTGCCTGTGCTTATTTATTAAGGGCTGTTCAACTCTTCAGTGAAGTCTTGTTACTGTTGTACTGGAAAACCTTCTGCTGGAATTATGCATGTATCCCCTTAGCAGCCTTAGGCACAGGAACAACAGCCCTGGAACGAATATCTTTATGGGACAGCTATTCTGTTATATTAACAGCTGCAAGTGGCATACTGCTGGGGCTCAAGCAATTAGGTGCTGGGACGCAAGCATTTTTTTTTACATTCATAACAGATGCAGCAAGTCCAGAGGTGCCGGGGCTATGAACGGCCAAGCCCAGAGGTGCCGGGGCTATGAACGGCCAAGCCCAGAGGTGCCGGAGCTATGAATGGCCAAGCCCAGAGGTGCCGGGGCTATGAACGGCCAAGCCCAGAGGTGCCGGGGCTATGAACGGCCAAGCCCAGAGGTGCCGGGGCTATGAACGGCCAAGCCTAGAGGCTCAGCCCTGGCACAAATTAAGCAGAAGTTACATTTATTTTACTCTCACTATATTCTCTTTTGTTTTCTTCTGACTGTCCTTGTTCAGAACCACAGCTGGCGCTTATTGGATATTGTTTCATAAGTGAAACGGCGACAGGACTCAGGGAGGAAATTCATGCTCCTATTCTCCCCAACCTCCTTTTGCTGCTGGCTATAACACAGAATCAATTCACAATCCTATCCTTCATAATGGTTCTGGAGCACATCTGGCTCGGGGTGGGGCCGAGTCAGTTCACAGACCACCTCCTCTCTATGGCACTGTCTCCCTGGGCACATCTGCCCTTGTCCCTCTATAGCAGTCATCAAGGCCTTTCTAGTCAGGTCAGTTCACCTTGGGTTATTTTGGTATGTCAGCCCTCATTCTCCCCATTTTTTCCTGTTGACAGAACAGCTGCTTCCTTCTGAGCCACTGGGCCTACTTCTACTGTCACTGGCTTGGTTTCTGCATATATCTTCACCCAGAATATATTGTGATATACACCACAACAAGATGCAGAATCTAACCAACCCTGTGTTCCCCTTTGAAACTATAGTTAACAAAGTGACCAACTCCCAGCCCAACCCAACTTGCTGGGGCAGATTAGGGGGTGGAAGGAAGTCTCTAGAGCAGCTCTGCCATCCCTGCTCTCTGCATTGCATTCTGAGCAGGGAAATGCCAATGCACCTCCCAGTGCATGGTCCCTTGGTGTTATTCACTCATGATCCAACTTCAGTCACAAAGGGAAGCAAGTCTCTCTGGGCTGTCATCATGGCAGGGCTCTTTACAAGGCACTTCCACGCTGAGAGAGAGAGAGTTGTCTTTTTATTGGTGTTTGAAAGCCATTTGACTCCCATGATCATGTCACTGCAAGAGGGAAAAAGAAGCAGCCCCTTCTATAATATGCAGCAGCACAATCATTGCTTTCACCGTCTCTTCACTACCTACGCAGACGATTCCTGTGTGACAAGCTGGCAAACTGAACAACAACTCCCAATATGCTACTAAATCACTTCCTGAACCGCCACCAGGATGGGAAGCCTGCACATTCCTTGAAGAACTGGAAAACACAGACCCAGACTTCAATGCCAGAAAGGACCGTTGTGATTATCTAATCTGACCTCCTGCACATCGCAGGCCACAGAACCTCACCCACCCACTACTGTAATAGATCCAAAACATCTGCCTGAGTTACTGAAGTCCTCAAATCACGATTAAAAGACTTCAAAATACAGAGAATCCACCATTTACACAAGTTTAAACCTGCAAGTGACCTGTGCCCATAGGCGAAAACCCACCCTGGTCTCTGCGAATCTGACCTGAGGGAAAATTCCTTCCTAACCCCAAATATGGTGAGCAGTTAGATCATGGGCATGTTGGCAAGACCCACCAGCCAGACACCTGGGAAAGAATTCTCTGTAGTAACTCAGAGCCCTCCCCATCTCCGGGCAATGGGGATATTCGCTACTATCAGTCGCCGATGGGCCACAGGCCATTGTAAGCAGTCTCATCATACCATCCCCTCCATAAACTTATCAAGCTCAGTCTTGAAGCCAGTTAGGATTTTTGCCCCCACTTCTCCCCTTGGAAAGCTGCTCCAGAACTTTACTCCTCCAATGATTAGAAACCTACATCTAATTTCAAGCCTAAACTTGTTGATGGCCAATTTATATCCATTTGTTCTCGTGTCAGCATTGGCACTTAACTTAAATAACTCCTCTCCCTCCTTGGTATTTATCCCTCTGATGTGTTTATACAGAGCAATCATATCTCCCCTCAGCCTTCATTTGGTTAGGTTAAACATGCCAAGGTCCTTTAGTCTCTTCTCATAAGATAGGTTTTCCATTCCTCTGATCATCCTAGTAGCCCTTCTCTGTACCTGTTCCAGTTTGAATTCATCTTTCTAAAAGATGGGAGACCAAAACTGCACACAGTATTCCAGATGATGCCTTGTATAATGGTAATAACACATCCCTCTCTCTACTGGAAATACCTCGCCTTATGCCTCTCCGGAGTGCATTAGCCGTTTTCAGGGGAGCATCATATTGGCAGCTCAGAGACATCCTGTGATCGACCAATACACCCAGGTCTTTCTCCTCCTCCATCACTTCCAACTGATATGCCCCCAGCTTATAGCAAAAATTCTGGTTGTTAGTCCCTAAGTGTATAACCTTGCACTTTGCACTATTAAATTTTATCCCATTTCTATTACTCCAGCTTTCAAGGTCCTCCAGATCTTCTTGTATGATATTCCAGTCCTTCTCCATATTGGCAATACTTCCCAACTCTGTATCATCTGCACATTTTATTAGCACTCTCCCACTTGTCATGCCAAGGTCATGAATGAAAATGTAAAATAAGATTGGTCCCCTGGTGATTCAGGACTTCTAGTGACCTCATTGTGAGAGGCATAGACACATCACCAGAATAAAGCCCTTTCATGAGACCCTGCCTGACGCCTACTGCACTTTGGGTTTTGGTGTGACTAGCCACCATTGCCCCAGGCACAGCAGAAAACCTAAATACAAGCTACAGAAATAAAAGGCAACCATGGAAGCAAACAAATGCACAGAGAGTGGAACCACAAGACCAAGTCTTTCTATGGTGACTGGAAGGCTCATAGAAATCAGAGCAGTAAAAGGTTGGAATGG